ATAAGGTCGAATAGACGAAACTAGTTTTCCTCAAACATTGTGTTTTCTGTGTGTCAAAGGAGGGGTAAAAGTTGAAATTATTTTGACGTCCTACAATATGAAGTTTAGAAACTCCTTTAAGGTCCAAGTCCGACAAATTTGAAGTTGTATATTCAATACAACATATTTCATAAGTATCAAGAGAGTGGGAATCGCGTCAATAAGACATGGTCCTAAAAGGGATGAATCATTTGAAAAATTGTATAGAACTTGGGGGGCATGTTCTTTTTCGAGAAAGTTTCAAAAACCACCAGCTCTCCCTCCCGATAAAAAAATTAACTGTCCCTTGTAAATGTTGAACACACTTGAACTYGAATCACGTGAAATGTACCAGCTCTGCATATTCTTCGTCCACCCAGTTCCCTATACAATGATTGATTCTTACGAAAYAATTTGTATTCCATATTCTCAAGGAAATGTGCTATAGACCCCTTGCATGTGACGTCAAAGCAGCTTCATCTGGAGGGCAAAACAAAAGATTTTTGCCCTCTTGGGAACTAGAATCCATTGTTTTGTCCTCCAGTTGTAGCTGCATTCCCATGAACTGCAAGGTACCGTCTATTGTTTGGGTTAATGCTGGGAGTTATTCATCAAGCTACGATGTGCTAAACTTACACGAAAAGAAATTCAGTAAAATTGAAATCAAATAACAAAGTGTACGCACAAGTCAAAATAGATGGGCTACTGCACAACGAAACACCGAAACGAAACGGTACCGAAACGAAACGAATCAGGACTATTTTTTTTRAAAGGCAGCAAAATGAAAGTGTGATATGTATGGTTAATATAAAAATTATAGGTAACACCTAATAGCGGAGCTTGAAAGAAAGGGGGTGGGGGGGGGGGGGGGGGGGGGGGGGGATTTTTGTAATAATGTAAGAGATACAAAGCTTGTTTGAGAGGTCTGCATCATCATGATTGATTCCCGAGGAATAATTAACATTTTCGAATTTTAGGCGAATGCAATTGCAATTTAGATTATTTTAGATTTGTAAATTAATTTAGGCTCAAAATGAATAACTTGATTGGTAGAACCAGTCATTCTTTATGCACATATTCTCCACCTCATGATCAATCAGAGAAATCAATTTCAATATTTGAGGGATAAGAAAAACAAGAAAGAAGGTTAGTAAGAAAAAGGGGGTTGGAAATTCACCGATTCACCTCCCCTGGATCCGCGCCTGAATCTAGTGGGCAATGTTTTATAAAATCCACTCTAACAMTGAATGTTTTCGTTTTTCACCGTATACAAACATTTCGAACTGTGATTTTTTGAACAAACCAGAACACATAAGATTTGKCAAAGCCYAGACAGCCCGAGTAAACGCCGCATATGTTTGGACAGCAGTGATACATACCTACGCATGCGTAAATTATCGAAAGCCGAACTGGCGCGCAATTTAGAATACATGTAGCTAGCAGTAAGCTTATATTATACTCGTATTTTTTCTTACAATTTGCAAAATTTTAATTTCGTAATGTCACAGATTGGAGTGCAATCATTAACGACAACTACACAAGAACATGGACAGTCAAGAAGCGAAGATGAAGMCATGGAAATCGAGGATCACCAAGATACTGGTCAAGATGTCGATCAAGACGTTGAAGTCGTTACACAACCGCCGGGGGAGAGTATAAACAACAGGTTGGAAAGTGTACACACGACTGCATCACAACCAGAGATACCCGTATCAACTCCGCATGCGATCRTGCCGTCTGTTACATCAACACTTATCGATRTAGCTGCTCAACAATCACCCGAAGAATTTCGCGACGAAACTAACGTCAAAGCATCGAAACGCCAGCAACCATCACCTACTAAAGAATCACTTCTAAAATCACCTGTGAGAGATGATGATGTGAGTAAACTATTAAAGTTTTATTCCTTTTATCTTTGAAAACCTTTGCAATGGTGCACATTTCTTTACCAATCAATAAAATCCATCTTCRCAAAGATCAGAAAATGAAGCCCAAGTGAAGACATGAAATCCTATCCAGGATTCAAAAATTCAATATTTTGGCTAGCATTTTCAGATTRTTCTAAATGTTAAATTGTAGTAAAGATAAGTTAAACAAAGCAATCTGTTCSCTATGATAAGTTAATTTGGATGATAAAAATAACAAGATTTTAGAGAAAATATCAAAAGTTTAAATTACATGAGAAGTCTACATGTATTTGACTGTTGATAAAACCCATTAAGAACTTACAGTCTTTGAATGACAAGCTTTGAGACTCATCAACAAGCATACTTTTGATAAAGATGAATAAGAGTACTGAAAAAAGGAGATTCTTTGTAAAGCATTTGCTGGATAGCTCAAGAAAACCAAATGCTTGAAAAAAAAAAAAAAAAAAAAAATGTGCAACTTATCATTGGTTTAGGTCTGGCTTTAACCTGTGTTTGAATTGAGTTAACTTTAAAGATCTTGAATGGTGATGTTTGATGTCTGCTCTGTTTCAATTTGAAACTTTAAGCCTCCTTACAGAGTACATGTAAACTTAATAAACATGACTATAAAGCGGTATCACACCATATAATGTACTTTCTACAATTAATTGATAACCTTGATAAAGGGAAAACAAATAAAAAAATCATTACTAACTTGGACTTTGGGCTTAAAGCTAAGTATCATTTTGTGGGGCTTTTTTACTGGAGAAGACATTTTTGGGCAAGAATACATATCATCATGATAGTTCTGCTGTTAGGTATTTTAATACCTGAAAAAAAAAAAAAAAAAACACACAAAAAAAACTTATTTTTTCAGGTGTGCTGGCTAAACACAGAAATTTAAATTAAACATGAATTGATCAACACATCTTACTTTACTAATAGCTGGTTGTACTTAGTCTTAATTTTATTCTTCTAATTATCATCAGGCACAGTGYTGTCCTATTTGCTTTGAGCCATGGTCCAACTCTGGTGTACACAGACTTGCATCTTTAGCATGTGGGCATCTATTTGGGAGAAGGTGATATAATTATTTTGTTGTGTAAATATAATGGATGTAAATTGCATGTTGTTGCACCTTTTCTTATGGTTTTGACTGCATTTGGTTATGAATCAAYGCTGTACCAAATGTTGGGTCGACAYCAAATATTGACCATCTGRTTCGGTRTGACACTGGGTCGATGTGCATGTATGAACCGGGCCTAATATTTTTTTAATTAAACAATCAAAAGTCATTTTTATTGATTCAATAACAATGACTGCAATGATTTCAGTGTTTGCACTAAAATAGCAACCAGGGATTCTATTTTACTTTATGCATATTCAAGAGTGCTTTGTTTAAGTGTTTTGGGCATGATCAGTTTGTCCCATTTATCTCAAAACTTCTTTCTCCAAGAATCCTAACGGGTTTGAGTTTCAAGTTAGYGCTGGAGTTTTTGAAGCCATTCAATAAACTCAAAAGTCATGTTTTATTGGGTATGAAGATTCTTGCCCTTGGCTTGAATCTTTATACCCAATAAAACACTCCTGCTCGTCTATTTAACAGTACATGATCTTTTTTTATTTTGTAGTTGTATAGAAAGGTGGTTGAAAGCAAAGTCTGCTGTGGAAAAATGCCCACAGTGCAATGCTCCAGCACGCCGCAAAGACATTCGTAATATATATGCCAAAGCACTCAAAWCCATAGACACAACTGAGCGAGACAGAGCATTAGCAGACCTTGAGAAAGAGAAATCACTTAGGCAAAAGGCTGAAGAAGCAGAAGCAAGAGCATTGTTACAGTACCAGTTAGTTAAAGTAGAATGTGAAAGACTAAAGACGAGTTTAGTACAGCAACAGGAATTGCTGATTGCCAAGTAAGTACTATGTTACTTTCTAGAATTCATTAAATAAGATTTTGTCTCTGATATCACTGACATTATTGCCAAARTGTAAAGAAGATAACACACTACATGGGAAACATGGATCACTTGGTACTGAAAGTATCAAATGTTGTTAAGACAAAACACTGTTTTACCGCAGGAATTAAATTAGAAACAAAATTTCCCTCATCAATTATCAAGGAGAGCAATTTAACTTATTTGCCCTCATGTTATTCATGAGCTAGTCGTACATATCTCAATCACTGGGACTCAAATTTACCTGACTAAACCCTTTGAAAATCAATATATCCTATAATGGAGTTGTACGTGGATCTTCTCTGGTCGCTCTCAAATGTGGGAAACCTTCAGATCCTTTATTCATTCACTATTTATTCACTTTGTGTCATGGTATATATTACATGTACTGTATTTGGGATTCATTCAATTACAAATATTACGATTATTAAAGGTAATCTTAATGTACACTGTAAAATTGCTTAATGTTAGCCCCTTGGATGTTGATACCACTAATAAAAAGAAATCCCTGACATTCAGACTCCACTTCAGCGTCTTTAACGCAACAAAAATGACTTTCTGCATTTCTAATCAAACTGGCGTATTGCATTCCTGAATTTATATGTTTTATGTGTTAACAGTAAATATAATTAAAAATAAAAATAAAATAATTGCCAAATATATTTAAAATGCTCTTTATGATAAAATACCAATAAAATATTTTGTGTCTTTTCTAGAAAAACAAATATTTCATATTTTATTAACTTCATAGTCTAAACTTAGACTGCAATACAGGTAATATAATTAAGTCTATTGTAGCATAACCCAGTACAAGCTGACAGTTCGAGATTAAAAGTAAACTAAGTGAAACTCCAACCATATTTCATATTCTTTCTTGATATTCAAGTGTAGAATTGTATATTAACGTTTATTTTGTTAAAACAAAGCACACTGCTTAGATAGAGAAATCTAGACTGCAGTCAGGAGGTACAGAACCTATGACTGACCAGATTAAAAAAAAACAAAACAAACTCACACTTAGCTTAGTCTCATCTTTTTTCTCCTATGGAGGGTTAATGGCCAAAACGTCAGTAAGTTATTTCACCTAACGTTTTTACAATGTTAAATTTATCTTTTTACAAAACTGTTTCCTTACAAACAGCTTGCAGATGCAGCTCACACTAGTTTACCGCTAGTTCACACCATCTAGTTTTTTCTATCTTGTCAAAGCAAGCTTGGTTAAGAAGAGTTATTTAATATGTTGACCGTTTTCTTTGTTTGCAAAAAAGTAATCCAAAGATAGCAGCAGTTTCTTCTTTGCTTTCTGTGAATTGAAATTTTGTCTTTTTTTACATTAAGCCATCCCTCCCCTTCTGGACAGTCCTACGTTTAAAGTATATGAATATGCCTTGCATTCTACCTTATTTCCAGTTACTTCTCCCTTGTTTCCAGTTATTTCTACCTTTTTCAAACTAATACTAGCTAATAATAATCAAAGTATTAGAAATAATCAATTTGATATAGAATTAATTTAGTGAAAAAAGGTCTTTGATACACGATTGCCTCCATCACGAAACGTTCCCGAACCATCTACAGTCTACATGTGCTGTCTTATACCATTACACTACCAAGTTTCTGATGTGATTCCTTGGAAGACAAAATCCTTATAAATCTTCTGAATTAGGCTCATTAGGAATGCCAAGAATATGGCAGACAAGGACAATTTCAATAGCTTTTGTTTCAGAAAGCCATTAGGGAATTGGAGAACAACAAACAGTGCTTCATGTATTCAAAATTATGAAAACTGAAAACCTTAGTGGAGATGCAATATATCAATATATTTCTGTTATATGTATTTCCTTCGCTTTTTTCCCCTCCGGAGTAATTAATGAGTTAAGAAGTCGTTCAAAGTCCTCCAATTCAGACTGGACGGGATTACCAGTCCTTGCAATTAGTGGAACTGCATGTAATTGCGCTGACTTGAAACCCCGTCCAGTCCTTGTCGGACTTTAAACATTACTTAAATTCTATGTACATGTATAAAACACTCAGACATGTTAGGTAACCTTACCACCCCTCCCCTACCAAGCACCTCAAAACAATTATTTTAAAACTTCTATGATTATATATATGTCAGATTTAATAGACTTCCAATCCCAATTCCCTCACTGAGCCAATATTATTACATCTACCAAACAAAGTGCATGTAAAGAAGGCTACATACAGATTCCTGGAAGTACTTGCATCACATTTATGTATTTTTTTCTAGCAGTCAAGCTGTTGATTCATGTACCTGTAGGAAGGTAGGCCCCAAAACAGTAGCTGAAGCCACCTGTCAATCATTTACATCCAGTAAATGTTATGTATTACAACGAAGTTGTCAGATATCAAAGGTAAATAATATGTATTATACATAGTACATGACTGATTGCAATAATTCTGACCCACCTATGCTTATATTCACATATGTATATCAACGTAACATTAAAAGTTATGGGACACCATTGCTGATATTTTTTTAGAAAGTACTCATTCTGGACAATATACGAATTGAAAAGGCTCAATAAAGCRAAACTGGTCTCCGTAAAATTCCTGGTTTAAATGCTTGTGAAAGACAGACGAAGAAAAGTTAAACTTTATTACATCTTTACACAACGTGAGATCATTCTGGACAACTCAGAAAAAATACATCAGTCATGTAGATATCTTTCACTTACTTAGTTCTGTCATCAACTAGTAAACTTAATAGCACATCTTCACAATTTTCTGACCAAGTGTTTTGATTGTCTGAAAGTAGACCTTTCTTTGAAATTGAGACTTTGTATTTTATGTCCATCAACCCCTTAAAGTGTAAGGAAAACAATGACAAGTAACAACTGAGCGCAATTGTGTTGAAGCAATAGACACTTTGCCAAAATTGCAGCAGCTCATAAGAATCACATTATAAGTATATTTTTCATTAATGATTTTTCTTTTTAACTTCTTTTTAACTTCTTTTTAACTCAGGAAAAAATAATCATGAAACACTTAGAAAAAGAGTAAAATTTATAGAAGCTCTGTTATTTAAGCTCATTACATGTAGGTTCCATTGAAAATCCATAAAGGTATTAATTTTTGAAAATTACAGAAAATTTATGGTTGACTTGTGTGATATTGTTTTTCTCATGAAATTCATTGCRAAATTCCCTCGTCATCCAATGAATTTCCCTATCGTATTTCAGATTGAAAAAACAGAGCACTAGCCATTTTTGGCAAAGGGTCTCTTAGATCGTGATTATGAGACATGTCATTATTATTTATAGGGTGGATCTCGTGTGATGGCRTTTGAAGAACATCATGCTGTACTTGTGATTTCTAAACAGTCCTCTAATCAACTTTATCCTGGGTTTGGAATTRCTAAAGTGAGTATTAGTGTGCAACATTAATAGCCCAATAAGTCATGTACATACATGTGCATATACACTAGAGGACATTACATGGGGATTAGATTTTATCTTTTAGTGCTGAAAATGTGTTATTTTTACTAGTGTAAATGAAAATGCAGTGTAATGAGCTTTGAAAGTGAGAAATATTAATTTTATAGATTACAGTATTAGATATTTATTTAACAAATAAATAAGGCTCAGCCGTGGTTTATACTCTGATAAATGCACGCTTGGCATTTGAAACACACGAGAAAATGTCCAAAAGCACTCGCTGGAAAAATGCCAAGCACAGGCTGAGACTTATTTATTTGTTTTATTATATAGATTTTGAGCAAAACTTAAGCAAAAATCCACTTTGTTTTCAAAAATCGCTCGCGCACAATCGTGGTTTATACTCTCATAAACCACACTTTTTTGGCCAATCAGAGGGCGCGTTAGAAATCCTCTATATAATAAGATAAAATAAGTTACTGAATGAGATTTAAGCTAAGTCTTATTATACAGGGCTATTCAAAAAACTCCACACAAAGCAATTCTCAGAACATTACAAGGCTTTTGCAATTTTGCAATAATCATCTGACTGAAATGGAGAGCAATTATTGGATACGAATTGTTCATTAGTCAAGTAATTAATTTTTCGTGTTTTTTTTTTCAATTGATTGATAGAATTACCTATCCTAGCAAAGCTCCCRTGCGGGACAAAGGTCCAAGGGAGCACCATAGCTAAGAAAAAATAGTAAACCATGAAGTACATTTTTCATGGACCGACACTAGGCACATCTAACCTGACTGCGTGTATGTAGAATTTTTGCCGAAACTTTTGCAGTTTAAATCAATRGGCAATGTGCACTGACGCCATTTTGTGTAGGAAAGCATGATGGTAATCCTCGTAATTTGTTTACGTCCGCTAAACCAGTTGTCCTAACCTGTTTTTGCTTATTCTAAAGGAAAATAGAAGTATTTTTGACGCTTCTAAAAAGAAACTAAAAACGGCTTTTAAGGAGATGTTTTAGGGGCTATGAAAAGTGCGAGGACTACTACTACCATTATGCTTTGCTGCACAAAATAACGTCACTGCACATTGCCTAATAGGGAGATGCTATTAAGTTCGTCCAAACAGAACAAAATCTACCAAAGACATTAAATTCAAAGTACGAAATTTTCATAAGAACACTCTTTCTTTTTTATAACTGTTTTTTAGGTAAATATAATAAGTATGTTTATAATATTTGTTSCCATATTAACAAAAGATGTTGTGTTTACATTCCTTGAAACAGCATACATCTACTAAGGCTATCCTTGAAATAGTAGTTAACTAGTAGATAATCATTATCTTTTTGCTATTGGAGTTCTGCTATTGAGGTATCACCTACATTGTAATTAACTCCAAGATTGTGAAGCAATCGAAAAGTCATTGAAGGGGGACAAATCTGTTACTCACTAAGTCAGTCACTCAATTTCCTGTAAGCTTGGTCCTGCTTTAGTTGTGTGTTCAGAGTTATTAATTAATTTATTCTAATTGTTTTCTAGTAGTTTATTCACTCATTTTCCGCTACTGGGTACCCTGTACTATATTTGATCAAAGAAATATCAACTAAATATCAACTCATCTGGGACTCGAACCTTTTTTTAACGAAAAAAAATCTATTTGTTGTTATTCATTTTTATCTTGTTATCAATTAGGTTAGTTCATTAGACATCAAGCGGTCTGAGTTTGTCCAGATTCACCAGAAGCCAATACGAGATGCAACATTCAGTAACCAAGGAGATGGCCTGTTATTGACAGCTAGTATGGACAAGACTTTAAAGATTACCAGTTTACTGAGCAATACTGTAGTTCAAAGGTAAATGTTCATACAAATAATTCCACTTAAAACAAAAACACTACATGTTTTCATCTGGTAATCAAATACGAGCCTGGGTTTATCAAACACTTGCACTCATTTTGTGACTATTTCATCATATAGTTGATTATTTTTGAATGTTCACTCTCATACAAACTTCCCATTTGGTTCCCGGTGTACATTCTCTTGGGTAGACTCTTGGTTATTTTACAATTACTCAAGCCTGACATACCGATACGACCTATAGTATCGTTATGAACGAACCTCTTAACGGCTGCCAGAGGAGACTATGCCTGTGGAGGAGGGGGTATGTGCGTTTTAGTTTTGACCTTGAATTTCGCAAATCGTTTATCGATTACAATTGTTAGCTATTGTCTGGGTTTTTTGTATACTGCTGTAATCAATAAAATGTTTAGACTAAAACAAAAGTTTCCATAACTTTAATTAGTGAATTTTTACTCGGGGTTCCAAAGGAACCCTCGCCTTCTCACTCATCACACCATTCTCTACCCTTGCACCATGCTGCACTGCTCCAATTACAACATTTATGTCGTCGATAAATCAAGTGTGGACAGTGCGGCAAAGCCAGTCGAGTCAACTTAAATACATGTTAAATGCTAATGACATTTGTTTTCTTTATATGCATTTTATTACAGTGAACTCACTTTAACTGTGAAAGTTAAATAGTATATAATAATTTTAAATTAGCCGAATTCCTTTATTAGTTAGTACTATTTGTTTCACGGTTTTAGAGCGTCCAATCCACAACTGCATAACCTTTTAAGGATAGATTCTTATCAGAGTGCATTTTGCTTGTGGGAAAAAATATTATTAGTATTTATATATGATGTTGTGTTAACCTTTTTTTTTGGTCAATTCCTACATGTAGCTACAATACTCCAACTCCAGCCTGGTCATGTGCCTGGAATAATAGTGATAACAACTACATGTACTGTGGCCTTCAAAATGGTTCATGTCTAATGTTTGATGTGAGAAACACCAATACATACTTAAAGAATCTTGTCAAGGAAGGAGATACYATGTGTCCTGTCATATCACTAGCTCATGTAATGCCTGATCCTAATTCCAGTTTCAGGTACATGTATTGTTAAAAAATRCCCTKASACATTTAGAATGAAAGCACCATACGTTCAACTTGTGCAAAATAAAATACATGTGAYAATCATTTTCGTTACTTTTGCACAGGGTTTTTCATTTSATTATGACAGACRTTAAGATGCTCTTTTGWAAAATATTATTTTAAAATGCTGCTTGAAGTTATGTTTAAGTATCACCATMCTTTTTTTGTTTTATGATCTGTAAATTACCTCTTTATATTTATTGCATCTGAAGTTTATGTGTTATTTGTAGACCAGGAGGAGTGATCGTCTGTAAGCTGGGAGGAGCATGTTTCTGGGAAAGTACATTTGGTGTGGAYTATGTTTGCCATCCACTTACATTACCAGAAGGTTCCTTTACCAGACTGTCATATGAGCCTTCATCAAGACACTGCATGTTCTCACTAAGACCTTCGAARCACAACAATAAAACAAGACATACGGTGTGTAGAGTTTTTAATTAACAATCATTCGTAAAAGGCTAAGTGTTTGTTGGTGATATTCGGCCAGACGAAGGCTAATGATTGTTTTAGTATAAATAACAGGTCATTATTTCAAAAAGGAAGCATCGAAAGAAAAAGCATTGAGCAAGACGAAAAATCTTTTTTTTTACAACTTGATATTATTCTCTCAATCTGTCGATTGGGGGTGTAATTGAGAAACATAGAAGCGAGGCCTTAACGTCAACACGAGCACCAGGAAAATCGTACACATAGTAAACTTATTCCCTGTTGCTGTTGACGGAAATTTCCTTAAATTGTTCGCTTAATTTACGTAATTGGGCTTGCTGTGCTATTATGCGTTAAACTGTTTGCTCGGGGCGGCCTTTCCAAAGTACAGAAAATGACAACGAACGGAATCGGACGCACGTGCAAAGACCGTTCTAGTGATTACAACATTGGTTACTTTTCGTCCAATGTTCGGTTCATCGGAAGTGCTCGAGTTTTTTTGAGTATGCCCACAAAGAACTTAAGTTGGTAATTAATCTAWGTGTCTCGACTTTAACTGTCAGGTGTGTCAACTTCAAGGAAATGGAATAGCAGTAGCTACAGCAAGATCTCAGAATGAAGAGTGTCCTGSTTCTCAAGGAAGCATTATAACATGTAATCCTATTGCACAATGTACAGGTGGTTCCATCCAAAAACTGTTAAGTCGCTCAATCCTGTTCACAAACCCTGACAACAGTGAGAAACTCATAGTTGCTGCTCCTGATGAAGGGTCTAAAGCAGTGAGTATCTTTGTTATTTGTGCCAAGTCACTATTCAAAATAGAACTTCAGCAACAAACATTCATTGCACGGATATAGATGCTAACAGAAAATAGCACTTTTATTCGTTTGGAAAGGGTTGTTTGAACGATTAACCATCCTCGGGAACCCAGGGGTAATCTTCTGTCGTTCGTTCTTCACTTCCAGAAAAAAATACCCCTGGGCACGAAGTCTGTAAACCTCGTTCTCGATTCGAAATTCAAAATGGGAGCCGATAAATTAATCAACCAATCAGAATGTTCGAGTGAATCAATCGACAAATCAGAAATTTACCGCCCGCCATTTTGAATTTCGAATCGAACAATAACCCTGGTAAATTTCTGATTGGTAATCTGATTAATTTACCGGCCGCAATTTTGAATTTCGAATCGAGAACAAGGTCTTACAGACCTCGTGCCCAGGGGTAATTTTTCTTGGAGTGAGGAACGAACGACAGAAGATTACCCCTGGGTTCCCGAGGATGGTGGTTAACTAGATACCGCGTGAAAACTGTAGGAGTAAATCATTAGTTAAATTCTGATCTTAGGGAATGGCGTAGAAATTAATAGTAAGAAGGTTGGTTGGAATATTGGGAAGGTCATTAGAATTATTTTTAAACAGAAATACAGGAAAATTTCTGATCTGTTATGATTAATTTAAGGGGAATTTGGGTCTAAAGTTCCAACACTCACCCTTCTGACTTTCTGACCACTTCCTCAGATAAAACAAAACAATTTCCACTTACTTTACTTAGGTGCTATTATGGGATGGAGAATCAGGTCACAAGTTCCAAAAACTTCCGAACCAAACAGATGCTGTTGTAGATGTATTACCATTTTCGGTCAATGGTCAGAACTTTTTGACTTCAATTACAGAGCAAAAACTAGATGTCTATATGTGGCAATAATATATCGATGTAATGGATTTTGAGCAGATATTTCATATTACTTTATATTACCAAATAAAGAAATTAATGTGTTTGTCAATTTAAAGTTGATGAGTAAGTTTGTGGTAACCTCTGTTGCTGGCCTCTCATCACTTGACTGAAATATAGTAGTTTATTGAACTCTCATTATGATGTTCTGGTGTTTTCCTTAGTCAGTCATTAAAAAAAAGAGGTAATAGGTTCCACTTCCAAAACGTATGCAATCGATAGTTATTAGATTCACTCAGTTCAAAAGGTTTCTACTCATTAAATGCCTTCGAATTAGAATTTTGGTTACTCTTCATTCCCTATGGTGCTATGGAGCTTTGCTCACCGCTGTCTCGATTTTTTCACTCTTTCGCCAAAACACTAGTTCAAACCACGAACCTGTCTTCAGTGCGTTGACGAGGTACTATGTGTCGAACTCTCTTTCTCTAGCCTGTGTACATCCGTTTCTCACCCCTCCAAAAAAATCGGGGAGAGAACGACGTTTCTCACCCCTCCAAAAAAATCGGTGAGAGAACGACGTTTCTCACCCCTCCAAAAAAATCGGGGAGAGAACGACGGCTATCTTTCTCATCAGTGCAACATTACTGAACACCTCAAAATATCCGGCTTACCTATTTAGTGACTCGTGCTATCTAATTATCATCAAAGCAACACTACGGATGCTGAAACTGTCCATAAATGATTTGAGCATTAATAAAGTTGATTTAATACAATTTTATCTTTTTATCTTTATTTGAATGCAGGGTTTTAACATATTGCGATGCTTGACTTTTTCTGGCACTTTTAAAAGTCGTCGAGATACCGACTACTGCAAACCCAATGTTGGATCAGGTTTGTAGTTTATTATGAGCAGGGGAAATTAAAAAAGGCTTTACATGTAAAATTATACTTAATATACTAAAGTTGAAAAGAATAAATATCTTTCTATTTGAACCGGCTATTCCTATTATCATTTTTCATTTTTATTTAAACTTTACCCACGACTTTATGGACCCACGATATTATTAACGCGTGTAGTACAACTAATTTTTTAAAACCATTGTATTTTTGATACAGTGTACACCAAAAGTGGTGAGAAATTTGATTTCAAACTATAGAAAAATTTCTTCGATGATTTCCCCCCTGGATTTTATCCAATTTCAAATCTGAGACCAGTTTTGGATTCAGCACGTCAAGACGTAAGGATTCCAACACAAAGCGTGGTTCCAAATCTGGACATGTATGGTTTMTCTTGTTTACGACATTGACGGTATGGTATTCCAGCTGCAATCTCTGGAATCAGGCAAGGTATCAGTCACCTTCGTCTGCCCTCGTTCTCTGAGAGGAGTTTAACCAACCACTCTGGCTATTTGAAGAAGCACTTCAACCCAGAACAATTGACGGAGACCATGCAGCGTAAAGGTTGAGTCCTCTACGTTTATTACTTGTCAATGAATAAAAGCATTGCTACACCAATTAACCAAATGCTCACTTAGGTGTAAAGGAAGAACATTATGCCAGATTGGCCAGTCAGAAAGAGTTAGGTCAGCTAGTCAGCTAGGAAGAGCGCTTCAAATAGTAAGTGCTGTATCAGATATATGGAAAATCTGATCTCTCGTTTGATGTTTCATCAGGTGTGRAGAACGTCATGGGCGCAAACTAGCATATGTATGTAATGACTACCACGAGAAAGCTGTCGCATCTTGGGAGAGATGACCTTTCAARAACAACGGTACAAAAGAACAATTTTTACAGACTCAACAACATGACCATATGGCCAGAGGTATSCAACATCTAACATTTATTTCTTAACACCTTTTGTTAGTGATTTAAAGRCTTTTATGTTTTCAGGATCAGCGTTTTATTTTAACCTTAATGGATGATGTGTCCCCTTTCTGTCACGCTTTGCACAGAAGCAAAAAACGGTAATAGTGATGTTATGCATAAAAACAAATCTTTTTAGCAGCTGACTCAATGTAATCATATTCTAGGTGCTGCAGTGCAGAGATCTTGTTGATCCCTACTTTGTCACACATACGTCCATCCAAAGTGCAGTCACGCTGACTTCACAAGAATACGACATCCAGCTGTTTTGGTCCCTCCCGACGTTGTGAGGGCTCGTCGGGAACAGAGGACGTCTTTTTCAGATATATTGTAATTCCGAGATAGGGAACTTTCAATCGAATACTGGTGCAAGGCCAGGCCTAGTCCGGGAACTAAAATTGCCTAAAATCGCCCAAAATCGCAGTAAATCGCCTTAGATTTAGATGGGTTTTTGGTGATTTTTGCTTAAATCGACTAAAATCGCAGTAAATCGCCTTAGATTTACATGGGTTTTTGGTGATTTTTGCTTAAATCGCCTAAAATCGCCTACAATCGCCCAAAATTACGGCGATTTTAGGTCCCCGACTAGGCGCCACTAGACGTTGGACAAAACCTTCTAGACGTCGCCTTAGGTGGCACAATTACATTTTTGCAAATGTACATTGACACGCCGCACGTCAAGCAAAAACCTCTCGACACCACGTAAGTGGAAAGATAACCACCTGGGGGATGCTCCACCCTATAACGCTCCACCCTATAACGCTCCACCCTATAACGCTCCACCCTATAACGCTCCACCCTATAACGCTCCACCCTATAACGCAAAAATGTTGTCAGAAGGATTTGAATACGTCCAACATTTTAAAGACCTCTCCAGAAAGTGTAACTTTATCCACGAAGCTCGTCTGGAGACTGCCATCCTTCTGGATGACACACCAAACACAATGTCCCTGTTTCGGCACACCTCGTTGGTAAACATTCTATATAAAGCCCCCTGGTTGTCCCCTACATAGAAAGCGATCAACAAAACCTGTGTGCCGTCTTAAGCCAAGTGACGAATCATCTACATGAGCGCCTCAGCACGCTACTCWCAGAGTGCTGCAACACCGGAGGCGTTATTGAGGGGCTTTCCAAATCGAAATGGCTCTGTAATATATTTTTTTTTAACTTCTTGGTCTCTCGCCCATATGCGAACGCGCTTGGGACCAATCCTTTGCACGAGAGCAGCCTAACGTGCAGCCGCTGCTTTCTTGGCCACCTCTGAAATGGTTCCGACACCTCTTGACATAGGGACGAAAAACACAMAAGACCARATCAGGATYATGAACGCCTTCACATTCTCGCAGAGTCTCGACAAGTCAACTAAATTAATCGCCGAGGCAGCGATAAGGGCCGGCACTTTTAAAAGAMCTTCAGAGGAATGAGAGGCTGTCCAKTAACGACGTGCTCACTAACCCTTCACCATCTGCCCCTCTGAATGGGTACATAACTGCAGAAGATCTTGCGGAGAAGTTGGCGGACAAGCTYATGGATTTAAAGTGTGTAATTATTCGATCGAAAATTTCAAGTTAGTTTTAGAACGTGGAAGCACAAATATACCTTACATGTTAAAGAACATCGGCGATATAAATGAAACTCATGTTTTCCAATTCCATGCTTATAAACAATCGTTGTTTGACATTATTATCAAATGTTGAAAAAATGAAAAAAGGATTGATTTTAAATCTTATAACTATCGATATTCCAAAAATGAAGTTGAYCTTGACTCTGGAGAGCATGTAAAAAGTTGACTATTGTAC